ATCTTCAGTACTTTTAATGTATATTAAAAACTATCACAGCCAGGAGTTGGTGGCTCATGCCTATAATCCTAGCTACTCAAGTGGCTAAGATCTGAGGATCTAGGTTCAAAGCCAGCCCAGGCAGGAAAGTCCACGAGACTCTTATTTCCAATTACCACACAATTAACTAACACACACACATATACATAAATTAAAATGTCAAAGTTTTAGCAAGCCCTACTACTTTTACTGTGGTCTGCTGACTACATTTATAATTAAGGAAATATTAACTTTCATCCAGAAATTAGTAAAAATAATATGACTTCCCCTCTTTTTTGCTTCCTGCATCCTATCTGTAGACCCCAATCCACTCAAGACATGATGGACTCCAGTGGAGAAAGCCTGGGAAACCCTGTTTCCACAGCTTAATTTACAGTATTCCTTTTTGGAACCATTTTGAAATTTAAGCAACAGTAGCGTTTCCATCTACTATGGGAGTCCAGAGCATTGTTACTCTATTCCAGTGCACCCATCTGTTCAGACTGTTTGAGAAATCCAAAGTCTAGGAATCAAAATAAAAGCAACTGTCATCTTAAAAAACCTATTGGACAGACAGGTAATGCAAACTAACATTCCAGGAGCTCACTTAAGGTTTTATTCTTGCCTCCTTAAATGCAGAAACACAATTAACAACTAGCTCCAGTTTGCAAGTGTAGAAATCATAGGCTTATCTTCAAATGTCAGAGATACTATGGAAAACTATTTAAATAGAAGCATATAGATTAAGATTACTCAACAGTTTCAAATTGGATGAACTAAGCTAATACTAAGGGCCAGCACGGGGGCAGGAGTCTGTTCTCATTTGATCTTTCATAAGATTCAGCTTTGTGGGTTGCAAGACCTTCTCCAGATGCACACTAAGGGTTCAGAGTTTGGGATTTTACTGGCATTTGCACCATGAAGTTATATACTGCTAGGCACGAATCTGCACACCTGTGAATGGGACATCTAAGACATAACTTCTATTGGGCCTGTCAGTTAAATGAAAACTGGACACGAAGCCCTCCCCTCCCCCCTTTGTGCTCTTTCATTTTACAATCACCTTGGGCTTCAGGGAAAACAAGACTCATCCATAAGCATTTTGGGACAAACAACAACAACAACAAACCCTGCCCCTTAGACAAACAATGCTTTCTTATCATCTTGAAGAGAATAGCTAAAAGCTCCAGAGCGACCATGCTCCATTGCTCCTGCTCTCCTCAGAGGTAACAATTCCTGCACAAAGAAAGACTAAGCTAATGGCCAACCAGGTCACACTGGTGGCTTGGGACTGTTTTCGCTGTGCCTACATTTCTTACTCCCTGTCCCCAATTTTCCCTATTTATCCTGAAGTCTGGTACCTTGAAGGAATTCTGAAGTGCTATCTTCCTATGGCTGCCACACAATGAACCTTCTTTCTTTGTCCTTTACCTCCCTTTATTTATTTATTTATTTTTGGGTCCGGTCATGAGGCCTGGACTCTGGGCCTGGGCACTGTCCCTCAGCTCTTCAGCTCAAGGCTAGCGCTCTACCACTTGAGTCACAGCGCCACTTCCGGCTTTTTTCTTCTTGCTTATGTGGTGCTGAGGAATCGAACCCAGGGCCTCAGGCATGCAAGGCAAGCACTCTACCACTGAGCCAACTTCCCAGCCCCCTTTACCTCCCTTTATTTGGGAAGGTGAGTGGCTGGACTTCATGTGGGACTCCTGGAGTTTGGGCCTGTATTCTCAAAACCTAGTGTTTCAATGATGATGACTGTTCTGCTGTGAGGACTAAATGAGGAAAGGCACACTCTCCAAGTAGTAGTGTGGTCAGGATATACAAGGCAGTGCCTGCCCAGCTGGCGGTGGTTACTCATAAGAAATTCTAACAGTACTGAGAAACTGCTTTTGGTTAAAAAAAAGTACTGACTTAGGCCCATGAACACAACTAAAAGCAGGATGAAAGCTTCTCATCCCTCTCTTCTTTCTGCCTGGGTTTCCTGAAGTCACCCGGAAGGAGCCAGGAGAGGACTGATGGACACCTTTATTAGGGATGGAAACTACCTCTATGCGGGACAGATCACTCACACACAACATGACCTTTCTTAGTATAACTCAGATTGTTTTGAGTGATGACAGATATCAATTTCTCTAGAACCCCTGACAAGGATCAACAAGACCCCACTTTGCCTGTTTAATTATGCACACCTCTCTACCCCCACCATCCTAATTCCTTTTTTTTTTTTTATTTCTTTGTTAGTCATGGGGTTTGAACTTGGGGCATGGGCACTTTTGTGCAAGGCTTGCACTCTACTACTTTGAGCCACAGCACCACTTTTGGTTTTCTGGGGGTTAACTGGAGATAAGAGTCTCATGGATTTTCCTGCCACGGCTGGCTTTGAACTGTGATCCTCAGATCTCAATCTTCTGAGTAGCTAGGATTACAGGTGTGAGCCAGCACCTGGCTCAATTCTTCCTCTTTTTAAAACTAAACTACTAGCCTGCACCTGGAAAATGGGCTGAAGTGCTTTGCTTCCTTTTACCATATGTCCAAGTCATGTTATAACCTCCCTTTCTCTGAGGCTTGAACTCTCTATCACTTAAGCAACATCTCCAGTTCCAGCTTTTTTTTTTTTGCTGGTTATAAAGAAGAGTCTCCAGATTTGTCTGCCCAGGTGGTAGGATTCTCAGATTCTCAGCCTCCTGAGCAGCTAGGACAATAGGCATGTCAGTGGCCCAGTTCATTTTCTATTCTTGCTTGTTTTTAAAGATCCAACTCAATGCTGGGTACCAGTGGATCATAATTGTAATTCTAGCTATTTAGGGGGTTGAAATCTGGAGGATCTTGGTTTGGGGCCAGCATGGGCAGAAAAGTTAAGAGAAACTCTACCTTCAAGATAAATAGCAAAATAGATAGTACTCTTCACCACGAATCCTCTCAGTTTTATTTGGTATGTTGGGGCAAGAGGAAAGACCTGATCTGACTGTGGAACCCCTGGAGTTAGGCCTCTGGCCTAGGACTCCCAGTTACAAAAGCAGTAAAATCTCTCCAGTGCTCCCTGGCCACCAACTCATCATTTTCTTCTGATTATAGAAATGAGTTGTCCCAGTCTCTAGCAGTGTCATGAAGATCAGAAAACTGCAGAATAGAAGGAAGCTACAAACTCTCACTTCCTCCCAACTCCAATTATCGTTGACTGTTTTTAGATGCAGGGGCATAGAATTTAAGGGGCGAGTAATACATATATATTCTGGGCCTGGGTACTGTCCCTGAGCTCTTCAGCTCAAAGCCAGCCTGTTCTACTACTTGAGCCATAGCACCACTTCCGGTTTTCTGGTAGTTTATCGGAGGTAAGAGTCTCCTGAGCTTTCCTGCCAGGGCTGGCTTTGAACCTCGATCCTCAGATCTCAGCCTCCTGAGTAACTAGGATTACAGGAGTGAGCTACTGGTGCCCTGTCATGAGTAATATTTTTTGAGAAAAATAAGTGCCTTTCATTATTGGCCTGGATTTGTTGTACTTTTTCCAGGACTGAAAGATGTTTTTAATTTAGGAAAAATACAGCAATGAGAACAACTCTCATACCACTTAACATCATAGGAGGCTCTAATCTAGAACTGTGAGGGAAGAAAAAGGCAAAAGTTATTTCATAATATAGTTGAAATGACAAGACGTACAAAGAGTTCAATTGTTATAGTAATGAATAAGTGAGAGATTCCAAGTGTCCTTCTTACCTCTTACGAAATGACAGATTTGAGCACTAACAGCTGGAGTGCCCCATCTAGAGAAATAGGTAAATGCAGAGGAGGCTTTGAAGTCTGCCCTTAAATCCAGGGACTCTGTTATCTTTTTCAAAAGTGAGGAAATAAATTGTTATAAGGCAGAAAAGGATATACTGAAACCAAACCAGGGGAAAACAGGACAGCGATTTTTGTTCCTGGCTTTTTTGTTGTTTTGTTTCTTAAAGAGTCTCTTAGACACAGAAGGTATGGCGGAGAGCCTGTGCACTTCTTTCTGGGTGTCGGCTCTGAGTGACTTAGCTTGCCCTTCTCAAGAGCTGCCACCTGGTAGATCTTTCTCCACAGACAGGAGTTTAGCATCTCCTGTGTTTCAGAAGCCAGAGATACTTAAGCCTGTGTCATCAGCATCCCTGGGTTGCCAGGAGTGCTTTAGATGTTTTAGTCCATCAGAAACTCTGTCATCGTTCAGGGTCAAAGCTCATCCAACTGAAATCCCGAGGCGCCATTCAACGTTTAATCCTTTCACCTCATTCATTCGAAGTCCTTCCTATGAGCTAACTGAGGGCGCGCCCCGAAGAGGGAGAGAGCGGGAAGCCACGGCGCTCTCCCTCCCGTTTCCCACAGGGGTTGGCTGACCCCTGAACTCCAAGTGGAGAATAAGACAAAAATAGGAAGGGCATTGTATGAATTCTACTTAAGCCTCGACGATCAATGCTTTCATTCAACTTGATGAGAACACAAAGTCAAAAGGAGCTGCAGGCGGCGGCAGCTGCGGGCAGGGACGTCAGGGCTGCGCCCGGGGAGGTGGCATCCACCGGGTCCTCCCGTGTCCTCGCGGTCGGGGATCGGGGGTGGGGACAGCGGGGGAGGGGGCGGATCCGCCTTCACTTCTACGAATTCCGAGGTCCCGAGGCGGGGGCCACACCGGGGACCGGCCAGAGAACCCGACACAAAGGCTGGGCCCTGGTCGCCCCACGAGCAGGCCTAACGGGACGAGCGGCCATTTCCCCGGGAGGACTCCTCCCCCGCCCCCAGCCCCCGGCGCCCGCGAGTTCACCGTCCCGCGCCCGTGAACAGCGGCGGCGGGCACCGGAGCCCGGCGTCCCCGGGCGCCGCGGAAGCGGGAGGTAGCCGGGGCCTGGCCGGGCGGAGCCGGGGACCGCCGGGGACAGCCCGGGACCGCGGGGCCGCGCAGCACGGGCCCGTCTCTGCCGCCCCCTGCCGGCGGCCGGCGAGCACGACGCCCCGGCAACCGCGGTTACCTTTTGGGGACGTCAAAGGCGCGGCAGGCGGCCGGGCGCGGCACTCCGCCCAGCTTGGTCTTCCCATAGCGGATCAGATCCTGGAAGAACGCATAGCCCGGGAACAGGCCGGGCGGCACGAGCTGCAAGAGCAGGGCCAGCAGGAAGGCGGCGGCCAGCGCTAGCCACAGCGCGCGCAGCGGGCTCAGGGCCAGGAGCTCGGCGCCCGTCCAGGGAGCCATGGCCTGCTCCCGCAAACCCACGCGGCCTAACCCGCCGCTCTTACTTAGAGAGGGCCCCGGGCGCGCCGGCCTGAGGAGGGCGGGGCGCCGGTGACGCCACGCGTGAAACCACGCCCCATCGGCACGCCCCGGACACACCCCCTCGCTCGGTCGCGCGCGGTCCCCTGATTGGACCCAGAGATTGCCCGGGTGGAACTGGATTGCGACTTCCCCACTCGCAAGCGAGACCGCGTGCTGGCAAGTGCCCGTCTTGGCTTCGTGTCCAACGGAAAAATGGTAACACCCTGATCAGTTGCATGTTGGCGGAGCGGGCCTTGTGGTGCACTGACGTGTTAGAGTGCCACTCGGCCAATGGCATGACAATCCTGAGCGCGGAACCCACGCGGAGCCGCCTATGGCAACTGAAACGGCGCAGGAAGTGAAAGAAAGGCGACCTAAAAGACATCAGGTTGCAATCTGTCAGGATAGGGGTGCTTGGCTAACCACGCGCGAGAATGAACAGTGTCTCCGCATGTTCAGCATGTGTACCTTCGTGTGAACGTGTAAAGCACACATTGCACGTAAAATAGCTGTCGTTGAAAAAGTGCCACGAAAGCTCCACTTGCCGAGTTTCCCCAACAGCTGTTTCTTTGCACATTTGCCTCCACATCGTGATGATGCTATTTCTTGACATCGCTTTTCAACAATACTGAGTTTTCTACTATAGAAAAAAAAAGTTTGCTCAACTCTTTGAAAAAGGGCTTTCTAATGTTAACTTCATCAAAGATTATTGTAGGTTTATCGTCTGCACTGTTGAGGACCTTCAGGACGGGTTTATAAGATCAGTGTTGTCTATTTGGAGCTCACATTCTTGCAGTGTGTGTGTGTGTGTGTGTGTGTGTGTGTGTGTGTGTGTGCTGGGATTGAACTCAGGACCCCACACTCTCACTTGGTTTTTTTTTTTCTCTTACAGCTGGTGCTCTACCACTCTACCACAGCTTCACTTTCATCTTTATGGTAGTTAATTGGAGGTAAAAGAGTTTTATGAACTTTTCAGCTTTGAACTTCCAATCCTCAGATCTCAGCCTCCTTAGTAGCTAGGATTGCAGGTAGAAGCCAAGACAATGTTTTTTTTTTTTTCAAGACAATGCTTTTGAGAAGCTTTGTTGTTTCTTTTTCCCAGCCCAAATCTATGTCCCATAATAATTTCAGGGTTTTTTTTACCCTCCCCCACACCAATCATGATCTTGAGCAGTCTCGGAGCTAGAAATAATACCAAACCCCTGCTTTGACCACCCCCTGGACCACTAATCAATTTAAAGAATGCATTTTTAATAAATCTTATTTCTAAAAGCAATCTCTGATTCTTCCCTCTCTTCAATTTACTCATGTCTTTCTCTAGAAACTGGTATCAACATTCTTCAAAATTCATTGCTTAAAAATGTTTCAAGTTTTATCTTCCATATACTACATCAAATCTCCCTCTAAATTCTGTTGGTTTTACCTCAAATATGTTTAGAATTTGATATAATTTTATCATCTCCTGCCCCAGGGTCCTAGTCTAAGCTGTCCTACCACCTGATGGGATTACAACAATCTTTGAATTTGTTTTCTTTTCTGCCTTGGTGCTTAAGGTGTATTTTCAAAACAGTGGTTAAGTAATTCCTTCTAATGATGAAGATTTAACAGATGAGTCTCTTGATTGGTTATTGCTCAACCTCTAAGCAAGTGCTTGCCTTGGGGCCTTTCTGCTTCTCCCAGTGGACCTAGCTGCTCTTTCTCATAGGTCTACCTGATTCCCTCCCTTGCTTCTTCTGAGTCTCTGCTCAAAATATACGTTAAAAGAGAAGACCCTAAAAATCCTTCAACATATAAATGTAAGGCAATGTCCGTGATGCCAAGGCTCAGGAAGTCATAGGAAGAATTGACACCTGGGATTGCACAGCAAAAGGGACAATTACCAGAGTGGAGGGACAGCCTACTGAATGGGAGAAACTCTTGGTAGCTACTCATCTGATGGGATTAATGTTCAGAATATATGAAGAGCTCAACATATTAAACACCAAAAGAACAAACAATACAGTCAGTAAAAGGGCAAATGAACGCAGCAGACACTTCTCAAAAGGAAGTACATAAAGACATGCTCAACATCAGGGAAGCACAAATTAGCAAGACATTAAGATTATTCTCGTTAGAATGGCCACTATCAGGAAAACAGCAAGTTCTGGCAAGTACATACAGAAGAAAGAAAATCTTGCACATTGTTGGTGCAAATTAGTCCAGCCAGAATGGAAAACTGTATAGAGGTTCCCCCCATAAAATAAAAATAAACCACCATAGATGATTCAGAACCACTACTTCTGGAATCAAAGTCAATATACAATAGAGTTAGCTGCACACTCATAGTGAAGCACTATTCCAATAGCAAGTGCCCATTAATCAGCTGCCCATTAATGGATATGGATAAAAATGTGATATATATATATGTATATACACAATGGAGTATTATTTAGCCATAAAGAAAAATATCATTTTAAGAAAATGGATTGCATTAGAGAGCAATATGTTAAGTAAAAGACTCAGAAAGACAAACATTCCATGTTTTATCTCATATGCAGAGTCTAGATTAAAAAAAAAGACAAAGTAGCAGAAGGATTATTTGGGAAGGGGAAGGAGACCAACAGGAGAAGATAGGTTAGACAAGAGATGAAAACAGGGTAATCAATATGTACTTAAATAGAAATGTCATAATTAAACCAATTACTTTGTGCAATAAATATCTGCCAATAAAAAATCAAAAAGATATTATAAAACCATACCCCATATTTTTTGCATTTCTCCTTACTTCTCACATAATCTCCCACATTCTGACCCACCTCCCATGTAATCTATAATTATGTGTTTATTGTTTGTCTTTTTGCTAAACCAGATAGTTCAGGAGAATAGACTGGGCTATTTTATTCCCTGGTATATTTCTAGTGCCTGACACATAGGTTCCCCATAAATATTAATGAATGACTCATTCAATAGAAATTCCAGCCATCAATAGAGGAATCATTGTAAGGCAGTAAATGTTCATTCCAAATTATTGACATACACATGAATATTTTGGTCTATTGTTTTTATGATTCCCATTGCAATAATTATATGTGATAGATAGTAGTTTATTATTGTACACAATAATTGAAGTATTGAAGTCCCATTATTTCACCGAGGTTAATGGTAAAACATGCCATTCGTAATGGATAAAACATGAGGAAATGGAACAATTAAAAGGAAGAGTGTGGGAGGTGAGCTTTCCTTCCTATATGACTTACATCATTTAAAGAAGTCATTTCATTAATATGCTTCCTGTTCTCCATATTACATTCAATGCATAGAACACAGAAATTCATTTCCTAAGTTGCATCTACATTTTCCATTTGACATGCAGAAGGTAATTATTTTTGGAGAGAAAACATGGGTCATGTAGACTGCCACACGAAATTGATTAGGCTTAATTAGTGTCTTAGAAAAATATTGACAGAAAGCAATGAAACTATTTTCAGCAATATTTTCAGAAAGCAATGAAAATATTTGTTCCTTGGAATTATCTGGTAGTATTATGCTGTGTTAAACAAAATCTTGTCATTTTATGTCATACGTTATGTTTTCCTAACCAAGGCTAGATAATCCATGTTGTTGGAATTTTTCCTTAACAATGTGTTTAGTTACAAGAGGAATCTGGCATAAAAGCACCACTAACTTTAGCTGTAGTATTTTCTTGAATGTCTTCACATTGTTAGCAGACACCATGAAAAAGGGGACACTCCCTCAGATATAGAACTTAATCAGCAGAAAGAATCTTTTCATCCAACCAATATTTCTACAATGTGCTAAACCCATCCTGAGCATCTGGATGTTCGAAGGATGGGTAGATGGTTCCAGAAGGAGCTCTGCAACAAAACTGCAGTTCATTTTCTTTCAAATATTATTTTACTGACTCAGTGACTGGAGAGGGGGGGGGAGGGGAGGCATTACTGAGTCCAAACATTGGGCTTGTTCTTTGTAGTACAGCTTAGGCATCCCAGGCTCATTCCAAGAGTAGTTACTAACATGCTTAAATGCTGAAGAATTACTCAGTTACAAATATCCCTTAGGATATCCTATGCACTTACATGTTTCCATAATATCTGTCTGTCTTTGTTTCTTTGTTGCCTGCCTACCTGCCTGCCTGTCTGCTTCCCTGCCTTCCTTCCTTCCTTTCTTTCTTTCTTTTTCTTTCTTCCTTCTTTTTTCTTCCTTCCTTCCTTCCTTTCTTCCTTCCTTCTTTCCTTCCTTCCTTCCTTCTTTTCTTCCTTTTCTTTCTCTCTTTCTCCTTTCCTTTCCATTCCTCTGTGTGTGTGTGGGTGTGGGTGTGGGTGTGCGCGCGCGCGTGCGCACACACATGTGTGCTGTTACTGGTGCAGGGCTTGGGCACTCTACTTAGTTTTTTTCACTTAAGGCTGGCAGTCTACCACTTGAGCCACAGTTCTACTTCTGTCTTTTTAGTTAATTGGAGATAAGAGTCTCACAGACTTTTTTGCCCAGGCTTTGAACCTTAATCCTCAGATCTCTGCCTCCTGCATGGCTAGGATTACAGGTGTGAAGCACTGGTGCCCAGCTTTTTAAAAATTTCTTTTCTTTTCTCTTCAGTAGATATCCCTTTTGAATTTTTTCCAATGGCAAAAGCATCTTGGGCATGAGGGAGTGGGTGGTGGTGGTTTCCCTACTTTCCAGAACATCACAGAATCAATTTTCAGATAACCAGAGAAAGGAGGTTTGGATTACATTAGCCAGTCTCATACTTAAAATATGTACATATCATGTGGGGATTTTGCTAAAATGTGAATTGTGACTCCGTAAGCTAGGGGTGAGATCATCAGGGATTCTACACTTCTTGCCAGCTCCCAGGAAATGAATGCTCCGTCTCTGGCCTGTATTCTGAGCAATGGAATGACAATGACATTGGATAATGCTGCTGGATAATAGAAAGATAATGTGAGCCAC